CAGAATTAAGGATTATTTTAATGTTACATCATTGCCTTTTCTCTTTTACTTTCCTTTTTGGTTTTATTTTAGGGTTCCCTATTTTTAATGTTCATAAAGAGATTTCTTTAACTGAAATACCGAATAGTTTCTTTGGTGTGAAAACTATAATAGTACACAGGATCCTAATGAGATAATTAATAATGTGAAATAGGAAGTAAAGGGCTAAAGGTGTAGGGAAAGTGGGAAGGGTGGGGAAAAGGTAATAAGGGAGAGGAAAAAAATTTGAGAAACTGAAAAAATGGAAATAAAATGTTTGTAAATGGGAAGGGGAGGAGGGGGTGAAGGGAGGGCAGGGACAAGGGGAAAAATGAGAATCAAGACCTATTATGTAAAGGTACAGAATCCCAATGATGAATGTAACTGCATTGTATACATAGATTGTACCAATAAACTCAATTAGAAAAAAGAAATTGAGTTCATTTGAGAATATAAAGATCCTAAACAAAATTAGTCCAATGAGTTTCCCAAATGCATTCATTTACTGGGAACAAGAAAATCAACTTTGATGTGTGTGTGTCTGTGTGTGTGCCAGGGATGGAACTCAGAACCTTGCACTTGCGAGGCAGGTGGTGGCGCCACTGTGCTAAACCTCTAGCCCCTAATTTTCATGTTTATACGAGTACCTATTTGTGTGCACATGTACTGAGAAATCTTATTTGGAGGAATATTTCACCTGTGTGTGATAAAGTGAGCCGGAAAGCTCGGCCACATATAGCAGGATGTGCCCTCGAGCTCACGAGGGCTTAGCTTTTGGCAATACAAATACGTTTCAATTTATTTTATTTTATTTATTTTTTTGGCACCGGGGATCGAACTCGGGTCCTTGTGCTTGCAAGGCAGGCGGCAGAACCACTGAGATAAACCCCCAGCCCTCAATTTCTCGCAATAGCTAAAAATGTCCTTGCTTCTGCATTCTTGCCAAACCCAATAATTTCCAGACCAGAATACAGTGCATGCAATCAATTACTTAGCGCTGGGACTGAATGTATAAAAAACTTCATTCCTGTCGTTACCCCTCGAACAGGTATTGAGGGCCTTTTGTGTTCCGATCTCCTAGTCTCTGGGGACGAACGCAGAACAAAACATAACAAACGGATACAGAACGCAGGAGTGGCAAAGGGAGACAGGGGACCAGGTGTTCTTGTTAAAATCACCAGCCAGCACAGACATTACCGAAAAGGAAGCATCTTAGCAAAGATCTTCTTTCAATCTTTTGCAAGTTTTTATTTTTATTAGCGCGTCTCGTGTGTGATGGCTGCGTTCCTCGTGGAGTGATACGCAGCACGTCTCAGTCCTTTCCACACCAGCTTCCCCTCCTGCGCGCCTTCCCCTCTGCCGTCTCGCTGATCTCTGAGGCTCACCGAGCAGGCTCTGTGGCTGCTTTGTAGACAGGGAGGGCAGCAGGTCCCGAGGCTCTGGGGCACGCGGCGGCTTGGCCCTCGGGTACCGGAGTGGATGAACGAAGGCCCAGCGCCCGAAGATGGGCTCCGAGGGCGGCCAGAGCTCGGTGAAGCATGGAGCCCGGGCCCAGGGCCTGACTGCTACCCGGAAACGGGCTTAGTGCACGGAGGGGTGTTTGAGGGTGCTGTCTTCTATTTTTAATGCTCTTTTGGCAAGACTGTTTCTGGATGATAATAGAATATAAAACATGCATTCTTTATCTCTGGAAAATGATACTACTTTGTATTTAATTTTATTAAAAAGTCTAACAGTGACTATTAACAATCATCTGGTAATATACCTACTAATCCTGACAACTCCCATTAAACTTTTCTCAACTGTCTAAAAAAATCAGTAGTTTTGTACATGCCAAATGCACCACCTTCAAGTATTATTCAGACATAAAAATTTTTTATTGGTTTGAGTGGTGTTAACTCAGTAGCAAGGTCTGAGCCCCAGAATCCCCCACAATATGCCTCCTAACGATGAATATCCACATCTCAGTGTCTGACGTTACCCATCATCGCATTATCAGCAACTACAAGAAATACTGCCACAAAATTTAATTTTTTCTAGCATAACTGCTAAATTATCAGCCTTTTAATTTTGTATTGTGACATATTTTCAGTGTTTGTTTCTGTTTGGAACTTTTAATTTCTGTTACATCACATACTCTTCTAAAATAGCATCGGCAATAAAAATACAATATGGGCTTTTTTTTTTTGCTTCTTAGTAGCATAACCATACAATTTACTTTATATTCATTCAGAAATTAAAACTGTGGAAACTTTAGTCAATATTGCAGCTCATTAAAATTTTTCATCATGCGTATTTCAAAAGACAAGTGATGACCCTTAGGCTAACCTTCATTTTATACTTTCTGGTGTACCTGTTCAGCAGACATTTGGGGAACATTGTGATCATGTGGAAAGTTTATGTCTGCTAAGTTGAGCCTTCTCATTTTCTTGTGGACACTTTGAAAGACACACAATTAGAAAGTATCTCTCTGGTTTTAAACAGCGGCACAAGCGTGGTCACGCGGAACAGCTCCACCTGGAGGAAGACCGCAGCGGTGGTGGCGCCTGGGATGCGTCCCCACTCAGAGCAGAGCTACACTCACTCTCCGAGAACGTCTTTCAGTTAGGATTGCAAGTTCAGTTTGCCACATCTTCCAATTTGCCGAATACGCCAAGCATCTGTGTTAGCTGAAAATGGTCAATTTAAAATACCAAATCAATAATTTTCAAACATTGCACAGAGTGGATAAATTGTGTCTGCAGGTCATATGTTTACACTGTTCTTCAGTGTTCTTCTTTGAAATAGAAGTTCCAACATTATCTGAAAAGACCTGCAGGAGAAAGCAGGGAGAAGGTGGGAGAGGTGATGTTCAAAGGCAACAGAGAAAAATTTCCCAGAAACGTAGAAATATAATATTCAGGACTAAGAAAGCCTAAAGTTCAGAAGCAGAATAAGATTTAAAAATGCACCTCAAAAAGAGAACAACTGTGAAGACAAAGAGAAGCTTCCAGAGGGAAGGCGATAAAATATCACATACACAAAAACACATAATCCAAGGGGCCAGTTAAGCAGTCCCTGCCACGATGAATGAGAATGAAAAAGAACCATCATTCAAGTCTTCTACAGAAAATGGTTTTTCATCCAGACTCACGTTCCCGGTAAAAGTGTTGCTTTCAGGTAGAGGAAACTAGAAATACTACCACAAATGGATTAACTCTAAAAGCAAAGCAGACAGACATTTCTAACAAAAAATCTGATGTAAATCATATGCAGGTGGTACAAGAATTTGGTGAAAACTCTTTACCAATACTTTGGTGATAAGAATTAAACCAAAGTTATTTAAATAACGACCTAGAACTTTAAGTTACAAATAAGATCAACCCGAAACTGACAGAAACTGAGAGCATAGGGTTCCTGGCAATTCTGCAGAAGGACAGACTAATTTTCTAGAATATTGTTGCGAAAATACAGCTTAACATGTACATTGCAATTATCACAACAGGTGAAGAAAAATGAATACAATGAGAAAAATGGTACAGAATAGATTCCTAAAATAGAATATAAGGAAAATAAAAACATTTTAGATCAATTGAAAAGGACACTACTCAGTAACATGATTGAGATCATTGGCTAACAATTTCTTTTAAAATAAATATTAATTACATGGGACACCTGCAAAGTTGACTGGCTAAAATGATTTCCTCTCATTATATGTTGCACTAAATTGCTGCTGCCATAGGTCTGAAACGATTAATTCTTGCAGTGTCACATAGCCTGCCAGTAAATTGCTACCTCCTTCCCTCAGGATGTGCTCTCTCTGCACTTGTACAGACTCACCATGGCTGTTTATGACGTCATCACTCGAGTGTGACACTGTTGCCTTGTGTATTGAATTTAATTGCCATTTAGTACAGTCTCAGAAGGACTGCCTTGTGATTCTGCTTGGAAGCGAAATGCTGTTTATACTATGCTCAGAAATGCTCAGAAAGGAAACAGGCAGGGTCTCAAGCCAGTAGGTGCCATCGGGAGTGGAGAAACCTAAGTTCTCTTGAGGACCAGGCCACCTACATGGCCCCTTCCACCATGACCTGTAAGACCACAGTGGGAACAGACTGAGGGTAGAGATCCTTTCCCTCAACAGGAGGGATGTGTGTCTGGGGATCAGTGGAGCATCGGGCCACCTCCGCCAAGCACTTACTACCACGCCAGTGTCACAGTGAAACACAGAGAGAGCCGGCGGTCCCTTCACATAAATGAAGTCCTTCTCAAAGATCTGAGAAACGTCAGTGATTTCAAGAAGTTGGGGACTAAGGGAAGGCGATCTTTCGTCACGGAGCCCTGACTTCTGAGAAACAGGAACATCTCACTGCACAGCGCCGAGGTGTGAGGTGTGACTCAGCTGAGATCCAGAGGAGCCTCCCAGTCTTGTCCCATGGGAATTCTGCCAGCCTCCCGACACACTTCAAAATTACACTCAGTCGTAAAGCTACTAAACAGATTACAAATTGTCTACGTCAGGACAGCTATAGGAACAATTTCACTAAGTATAAAAACTAGATTCCTGTGACATCAGGGCTTCAGTGAGTGTGCTCACCACCTGCAGAGTTTGCCTGGCATTCGTGCTAGGGTACAGGATCGGGAGTGGGAAAGTTCATCCTAGAGTCCCCTTCTTTTCTGTTTCCTCTTACAGTAGTAGGTGAGATGAGATGCTTTCATTATGATCACACAATACAAACCACAAACATAATTAGAAGAGATATTTTGTTCCTTCTTACTCATTCTGCCTTTTTTACATATGTATTTTATAAGTGTGTAAAACACTTACAGGAAAATATGCACTGTCTTTAGACTTACATTCCATGCTTGGCGCGAGAGGAGTTGAGAAGCCCTAATGGCTGCCTCTACTGCGTGCCGTACTTTAAAGCCGTGGGCAGCAGTTACTGCAAAGTATATGCCAGCCTGGGATGCCATTCCAGGGATGCCCTTGGGGGGCTTGCAGATGGGGTTCCCTGTCACCTACATGCCCCTGGTCTGGGCAGACTTCTGCCAAAATCCCAGTGAATTTGCCTTTTTTCCAGATAAAACTTTCAGTCTTTGCAAAAATGTTGTATTATTCTCCAGATATTGGAAACTTACATGATTTTCAAACACTAGCAGGTACTCCAGAGTGAATCTTGAGAGCTTTCATATACAAAAAGGGAAGCTCTGTGAGGCAATAAACAGCAAGACGATGGTAATTAATTCACAGTGTGTCCATGGATCCAGTCATTGCCTGGTACACCTGTAGTGTATGTGCCTTATACCTGTCAGTCACCCTTAGTCAAGCTGGAAAAAATTAGTAGCTACCCAAATCTCAAATTTATCAATAGGGCGATATGAAACTGCCAAGAATTAATCACTATGCACGTGGTACAACAGCAATGTTGTATGGTTAGGTCCGTATATAACAAGGGAAAATATATCTTATCAGTCAAGTTTCCTAATGTTCCACAAAATTAACATTTCCCTCTGAAGTTTGAAACAAAACTAAAAGGACTTTCTCAAGAATCCCCCAGCCGTTCGTCCTCTGCAGTGCTGCATTTAATATCAAGCAAACATTACACCTCGTGTAAAACACATACCATTTGCAATCCGTAAGAAAGAAGCTTACAGAGAGCTGGACCGTATCGTCAGGCCAGAAGCCTGCAGGTCAGTGTTTCATTGCTGTGAGCCTGGTTGTTTTATATCTAATTTATTAGTAAGTTTGCATGTTTGCAGCCCTTGTGCAGAGCTGGTGAGTACGCCTAGCACATCGTTCCTGTTTTCCTCCCTTTCCCTTCCCTCCTCTTGCCTCTCTCCATCTCTTGACACTCTTCCCGTTCGAGAAAGATCCATCCCTGCTTTCCTGCTGTCTGCCTTTCATTGTGCGCTTTGCTTAATTTCTTGCACTTGAGTTTCACAGAACCAACATTCAGCATTTCTTAATGTCAGGCTACTATGTCAAGAATGCCGATGGATTCTGACTGTTTGTCTCCTTGACAACTCTGTTCTCGTGCTCTTTCTTGAATGTACATGACTTTTGATTTGTGGGTTTTTCTGGGGCTCTGCGGTATGTGCTGGGGTACCACGCTGGGGAAGGAGGACCCCAGCTCTCAGGGTACTGGTGGGAGGACCGCTGGGCCACGGTTTCTCCCTGTCCCTGGCTGTGGCTCTCTGCTGACGGAGCAGCCTTCCCCTGCTAAGCTCACACCTCAGCTTGGAGCAAGGGCTTCCCAGAACTCTCAGTATTCAGCACCCCTCTGCTGACTCTTGGAAGATTTCCTGTGAGCTCTTCAGACATTTCCCTTTAAAACAGGGACAGGTACTGGAATATCATACTCTACCCCAGAAATCTGTACCCCATAAATCATTGCACCTTAAGTAAAAATTGTTTAAAGGCTTAACAAGAGGAAAATGTCAACTACTTTGAGTTGCTCATAATGCACTGTACAACATGTTTGTGATTATCACACTCTACCCCATAAATGGTACAATTAAATTTTTAATTTAAAGGTAAAATAAATTCCACCTACAAAGTGTCTGCATGCTCAACACTCAGTGTTGAGTAAACCTCGAATTTACAAAATGCAGGAGCACTAAGGCTAAGCCAAGGGCCCAGACCCACCTATCCTGTAGGAAGCCATACACTGCCCAGGAATTTGGGCCTCCTGAGAAGCAGCACAGGACGCTGTCTCCTTGCTTTCCTGTGTCCATCTTTTATCATGCTCTTTGCTTAATTTCACGCAAGTGTGTTGCTGAGAGCACGGAGGAGGTGGCTCCGGAGGAGCGGGTGGAGAACAGTCCTGCTGTGGCTGGAGCTGGGCCCAGGAGCCAGGGCTGGGCTCACTCGGTGAGTTTGGGGTGCAACTGCGTGTTTGGGTTTCTGTGTGACCTTGGGCAGGAATCACATTTTTTTGTTTTATTATTTTTTAATTTTTAAAAAGTTTGTTTGTACATGTTTACAGTTCATGTGGTTTGCAGTTGTCTAGAGGCATGGTCACAGGTACTTATTATAGCAAGTTTCTTCCTTTTTGTTTTAGTTCCCTTCCCTCTCCCTCCCAGTGCTGCCCCTCCTTGCTCAGCTCCGACCCCACTTCTCGCTCCTGTTGATATCATGAGTCCTAGCCCATGTTATGCCCGGCAATGTTTACACTACTGGGCTTATTAGGTTCCTGCGTGGGGCGCATCTTTATTCTCCTTCAGGTACTTATTATAGCAAGTTTCTTCCTTTTTGTTTTAGTTCCCTTCCCTCTCCCTCCCAGTGCTGCCCCTCCTTGCTCAGCTCCGACCCCACTTCTCGCTCCTGTTGATATCATGAGTCCTAGCCCATGTTATGCCCGGCAATGTTTACACTACTGGGCTTATTAGGTTCCTGCGTGGGGCGCATCTTTATTCTCCTTTTCAAGGCTATGGGGATTTCATCTTTGAACTTTCACTTCTATTGCAAATGGTTTTTTTATGCATCACTTTCCTGAAATTGTTTTCTCTATGAGCAATGGGATCCTGAAGGCCCCCAGTATAGAAGGAGACAAATCTTTTGAATTCTCCTGACTTTGCAGGAATCCAAGAAAGTAGGACTGTGAGTCATCTGGGTGATGATCCCACAAGCAATGTAACCATTTCCAAGACTGACACAGTTTCAGGAACAAATGTCCAGGGCCAGAGCGGGGTCGCTGCTTGGGCTCTGTGGTCTGGGAAACACTGTGACGCGAAACTCACCACGAGACTAGAGTCAGGGCTACAGTCAAACCGAGAGGACACAGAACACAAGGAGAGGGGCCATAGGGTGAGAGCCAGCCAGGTTCTATGTGAGGTGGTACCGTCATCTTTTCCACAATCTATAACAGGACTGAGGCTGGAGGGTGATCACAGGATGAAAGTACTATGTTGTGTCTTACTGGAGAATGCTTCCTCTACCTACTATTGTAAAACAGAAGGCCTGAAAATCTATCCTGTGGGCCGTGTTAATTAACGTACAAAGTAGAAATCAATTAGATCACCCGAGCTCATAGGAGTCATTCGTCTCAGGCAGCATAGAAGAAAAGCTGGGGCACAGTTCTAGACAGATTACCTGTATGATTGTCTGAGTGGAGCTGAGATGGAGAGTATGATGAAATCTTATGAGAATGACCCAGCCGTAGACACCAGGATTCAGAACAAATAGGACCCTTTCAGAGACAGTAACTGGATATCACCCTTGATGGACATTGTCTCTACAGTGAAGGATATAAAATAGTCCTAAACAGTATAATGAGCTGAGTACCTTGAGTGATGGCAGGGAAATGCCCCGATAGAGAAAAAAATGACGGTTCATGTCCCAAAAGGACACAGTGACATACTGAAGAGCAGAGAAACCCTTCTTGGGTGACCCTCTTTGGAACCCACAAGAAGCCCCCAGACCATCTTGCTACTTGGGTGGTGTCCGTGAATGGCTCTTTCTCATTCAGTTGCAAGGTGAACTGACAGCACCATTGCTTGCAAGGCTATTGTTCTGATTGAATAAATTACAGGAAATTAGCTTGGTGGACTGAATTGAGTGCTGTTTGTCCCTACAATTAGCTTTTTTTTCACCAACCTAAGGGTGCTATCCAATACACTGGCCACATGGTCATGTAATAAGGCCAGGAAAAGCTAGCTGACTAACCAGTCACCAGTGTGGTGTTGGTTCCAAGGAGATCACTAAGGAAATTTGAGATGTCCGTTAAAGTAAAACGTGTCAATTTCCATTTAAAAACCACCTTCATTGAAGGTGGAAGTCTTCAGAATTGATGGTCAGATAGCCAGTGT